TTGGTGATCAACATACTGTTATTGGCCTAGAACGACATCATTGTCATTGTTTTCTCTATGAAGTGACCGTGAAAGAGGAAAATCACAACCTGTTTCAAATGAAACCAAGCTAATGATAAGTTGTTGTACTGAGCAATACAATTGTAACAATAATACTAATCCCTGGTCCAGGAGCTCAATTGATTAGAACACAATCCCAAAATGCCAAATTGGTGGGCCGTATTCCTAGTCAGGGCAATACAAGAATCAACCAATGAATTCACCAGTGAATTCATAAATGAGTGGAATAACACATCAATACTCTCACTTTCTCTTCCTCCTCCATCTAAAATCAATAAATAAAAGAATTACACATGATCTTAGGCAAAAGGCCGAGAAGAGATAATGAATTAAAAAATGTAAAAAAGAATAATGATAAGCAGGACCCAGGATTTATGACGACAGTTCATATTCCTAGGAGGGCATGGGAGGACAGAGAAAAAGCTGCCATATTGGAGAGGGGGGAGAACGGAAGCAGAAGGAGACAATCCATGTTTTGACTTAATAATGATCAAACTCAATAATGTTCCTTTAGTACAATGATTGGACTAACATACTCATGGCTTGCGCTCCTTTAAGTGACACAGGGAGTTTATCGCCCTTGCATGTCTAGGTTCTGAACTCCAGAGAAATTCTTTTCAACAATAGCATGGCAAGTTGCATTTCCATCTTGAAATCTGAAGGACATAGGTATGCATGAATCACTTCTAAAGTATTGGGAGGCCGGCCAAACCCCAAATTCACTTGTGTTAGTTTGGGGTTTGTTTATAGCCAACTATGCATGTCTGTCGCACCCATCTCCTCTAGGGCTAAACAAACCAAGAGCTGCTCTTGTGCTTGGGACACTTCTGCCACTTTCACCCCTCAGACGGGCCTAAGCCCAGGGGTAGCTTTTCCCTCTGTCCTGTAGAGTCTTTCTAGAAGAATGTCAGAAGTCCTTGGTCCTTAATTATTCCTATTTTTCTTAAAACAAGCACAAGTCATTTATTTCTCCAGGCATCATCTTTCCTCATGAAGACACAAGAGCCCATCTTGCCTTTAAAATACAAGTGTTTTAATGTTTAAAAGCACCTGCTTTTAATGCTTAAAAGCACCATACATTTCTTCGTTAAAACTTAAGAGAGGCATCTCTCCCTGCCCCCAAGCAAAGTATCATTATTCTCATTATATCTCTGATATCTAGGATTGTGGCTGGTAGGTAATCTCAGGATGTTTGTTTTGGATACATAATCTTTAGAGAGAGAACTTTACTAGCACATATTAACTTTACATAGTTAGCTTTTATTTGACCATCTTTAAAGCTGCTCTCGGTGGGCAAACACACTTATCGCACCTTGGCATCACAAAGTTAGCTTTTGAAATGCAAAGACTATGTGAGTCAGTGATATCACACATTTTCTGACTATGGAATGTAATAAAACATATCAAAGAAAAATATGGTCATTTACAAGATAGTAAATTTGTATGTCATGCTGCTAATTGTTGCTTTTGGAGCAAAATAAAAGTTCTTGAGGAAGATGCTTTGATTTGAATCCACAGGTGGATGGTTTTGCTGCTGACAATTCTGATATCAGGACACTCAGTAAAATGGTCTGATATTGTGGAAAAGTTACGGGCTAGGTACAGAATAGTTTCTTTAATTTAGGCTTTGCTTTCACATTTGCATATTAATAAAATAATTTTGGAATCTTAGCTCTTTGTTGAATATTTTCCTTCAAATAATCTTGTATCTGGAAGGACTTTATAAAAAATATATAAATCTATCTTTTTTGTTTTCTCACGGTCTTCTTTTGTCAAGTTAGATAGGACCATACTACCTCAGGCAGGACTAGTCCAGATAGTCCTGGGTATTCATTCAGTTGATTTATTCAAGTATAAAAGTTCCTATATGGCAAAGCAATGCAGTTTCATTATTGGAAAAGTTAAAAATATACATACAAGCAAAAAGAAAATAAACAAAATTTTCTTTTCTCCATCCCATGTATCCACTGTTGACCATCCTATTGGCTAACTTTCAAAATCTCCATGAGTCTGCTTTCACACACACACACTCTCTCTCTCTCTGTGCTTGTGCATGCATGCACTCATACACATATGCACATATACTTTTTATATTTAATATAGACAAGGCCTGTCCAGAATGTATCTAGCTATGTAATATGAAAAATAGAGGCATTTATTGAAGAAGACATGGTAACATTATGTTTAAGTTTTTGAGGAACTGAATTATTTCTCAAAGTGTCTGCATTATGTTCATTTCTGCCAGCAATGTATAAGTGTTCCCATTCCTCCACATCCCCACCAACACTTATTATCTTTTAGATTATAGTCACCCTAAAATCAGTGTGAAGTAACATCTCATTGTGGTGTTGATTTGCATTTTCCTAATGACTAATGATGTTGACCATCTTTCTATGTGCTTATTGGCCACTTTTATATCTCCTCTGAAGAAATGTCTATTAAAATTCCTTGTCCATCATTTAATTATTTTTTATGATTGAGTTAAATCTGGATTTGAGTCTCTTATCAGTATATGATTTGAAAATATTTTCTTTGGGTCATCTTTTCATTTTATTTTTATGGTGTTCTTTGAAGCATAAAAGTTTTCAAATTTAATGAGGTTCAATTTATTTTTTTCTTTTGTATGCCTTTGATTTCATATGTAAGAAAGCACTGCCTATATCAATGACAGAAAGATTTACTGCTATGTTTTTAACTAACACTTTCATAGTGTTAGTGGTTACATTTAGATCTTTAATACACTGTGAGTTAATTTTTATATATGGTATGAAGTAGGCATCCAGCTTGATTCTTTTGCATGTGGATAGCCAGTTGTTCCAGCACCATTTCCTGGCAATATTCAAAGTGGTCAAAATGAAGTGACCATTTATGTAAGGGGTTATTTATGAACTTCCAAAACTATTTCAGTGAACTGTATGTTTATTCTTATGCCAGTACCATACTGTCTTGATTACTGTAGGGTTGTATTAAGTTTTGAAATCAGAAAGTGTGAATCTTCCAATTTTGTTCTTTTTATGTTAGGATTGTTTTGGCTATTCTGGGTCCTCTGCAGTTGCACATAAATTTTAGAATCAGCTTATCAATTTCTGGAAAAAAATTTCATAAGAATTGTATTGGATATGTAGGTTGCTTTGGGGAATATTGCCATCTAAACTATTATCTCCCAATCCATGAATATAGCATGTCTTTCCACTTGTTTTAATCTTCCTTTAATTACTTTAAAAAATGTTTTATCGTTTTCACTGTACAAGTCTTGCACTTGTTTTGTTAAATTTATTCCTAAGAATTTTGTCCTTTTTTATTCTATTGTAAATGGAATTACTCTTAATTTCACTTTTTGGATTATTTATTGCTAGTTTTTAGAAATGCAATTAATTTTTGTACATATATGACTTTATATCCTTTTTATGTTAAAATATTGTGAACATCTTAGGGAAGTATGTAATTTCTATGTAGACTCATATGATGTTATAGAAGTATATACTTCTATGAGATCACTTTAATGACTTTATAATATTTCTCTATGTCAATATGCCACAATTTATATTTAATTACCTCTTATTATTGGACATTTATATTCTTTTAAACTTAAAAAAGTTATAAATAGCTCTGATAACTACTTGCCATTAAATCTTTGCAAACTCCCTGAATTATTTCCTGTATGATATGTAAATCTCTGAAGTGGAATTGTTAGGGCAAAACAGATGTGCATTGCAGTCATTTGGTAAGCACTGCGAAAATTGCCTTCCTGAGAGGTTACAAGGTTTTCACTTCTACCGAGGGTGTGATACTTGATTCACTGACTTCTCTTCAACTTTAGTTTTTATTTAAAAACATCTTTGGTAGTTTGAAAGGTGAAAGATGAGTCTCATTGGTGCTTTGCTTGCATTTCAATTTCCAGAAAGGTTGAATATTTTTTCTTGTGTTTATTATCTTAAAACTTATTTTCTGTGAATTGTGTTAGGTTTTTGAGCCATGAGTGTTCAGCTTTTCCTAATTGTTTTGCAAAAGCAGATTATATATTAAAGTCATTAATCCTATGCCTTTTAATGCTATAAGTTACCTCCTCTGTCATCTATTTTCCATTTTTTTGTTTAGTTAAGGTGCTTTTTTATTTAAACACTTTTATCTCTTAGGCCGTCAATATATCAGTGTTATGGCTTCCCCTTTTGGTGTTTTGCTCCATGCTTCAAACCTCCAGTCCTGTTCCCTGGGGGGCACTTCTGCTCATACCGCCCACAGCTATGACACCCTCCTCGCATTTCTTCGAAGAATGCCTGCCTGCGGGGGCTGTGTTTCTGTGAGGTGTCCCTGCCCTGCGTTGGAGACCACGCCTCAGCCCCTATGGGAGTATCCTGTACCCTGAGGTCACCTTGACAGCTGGAGTATTTCACTCTAACATCTCCCAGTTTATCTGTACACTTCAGCAGATTGAGCATCTAAAAGGATTTTCTCCAGAGCTCCTGTCCAGTTTGACGAACTACAACTTCCACTATTGGCTGTCTCTTAAATGTGTTCCTTCTGCTACTCACAATTCCCTGTGAGCTCCTTTGCTCCCAGACTCGGTGCATGGCTGCAGTGCCACAGGTGCACGGTGTTTAAGAATTGACAGGACTTGTCTTCGGTCAGTTGAGGCTTGTCTGGGAAATAGCAATGTTTTTAAGTTCTTCAGGCAGTGGCCCTTTCTCTGTTGTCTCATTCAAACTCATCGCAAGCCTCCTTCTCCCTTGTCAGAGGTTCGGAGCTGGCTTTTCTTGCTGGCCTGAGGCCGTGAGTACCTAGAAAGGAGAAATACCTGATTTTGTTTTGCCGTGGGAAGTTGGGGCTGTCCAGGGCCCCGGCTTGAGCCAACGGGGTGGGAGCCCGGGAACGCCTTTCGCCTTCCCCGCCCGCGAAGTTTGCAGCGCTCAGAGCGCTTGCAGAGACGCCGTCTGCTGGCCCGAGGCTGGGCGCTGTCAGTTCCTGATCCGGCGGTGCCCGTTCCCGCCGCTGCAGATTCCACAGGAGACAAGCTGTCCCCGCGCCGCGGGCTCCAGGGCTGCGCTCGCGAGTCCACGGAAGGACTGTGCTGTCTGGCCCGCGGAGCCTTTCCCCCCCGCAGCCCCTCCGCGGGCAGCCGAGAGGGAGGGCCGTGCGCAGCGGGATGGCAGCGGCCGCGCGGGCTCCGGGCTGGGTACGGCGGCCAGCCCCGCAGCTGCTCCTCCTTCTGCCCGCTGTGTGCGCGGCCGCTCGGGGACTCTCGGCCGCGGCCGGGCTCAGCCTGCACCCACCCTACTTTAACCTGGCCGAGGCGGCGAGGATTTGGGCCACCGCCACCTGCGGGGAGCCAGAGCCCGGAGGCACACGGCTCCGGCCCGAACTCTACTGCAAGTTGGTAGGGGGGCCCACCGCCCCGGGCGGAGGCCACACTATCCAGGTGAAGTCCGGGGAGACGGTGAGGGGCGGCGGGGAACCGGGGACGGGCTCCCTCTCCGCGCGGTCAGCCACAAGGGGCAAAGGAATTGGCCCCTTTCCCCGCCGGTGCTAGTGAACCCTGGCGACCGGGAAGGGCTCCCTCAACTCCCGCGCGGGCTGGCGACCCCGGGGGGTGCGCGCGGGGTCCCTCGAGTGATCCTTTGGGAGCGCTGCCAACGCGCTGCCGGAGGCGGGGATGGGTAAAGCGCGCCAGGTGGATGAAGGCCGAGGTCAGGTGTGGGCGAGCCGAGGAGAAAGTCCCAGGCTGCGCTCGAGGGATGCAGCGAACTGCTGTCCAGATCCGACTCCGTTCGTCAGCCAGGCTCGGCGTGAGTTCCCCTGGCCTTCACTGGCGTCCCTCTTTCAAGGCACTTCATCTCACCTACTTCCTTCCGAGAAGCTGGTGGCAGTTAGCTTGCACGGTGTATTTTAAGAGGGAACTTTTAGGTTTTATCAGTAGTATCACTCCGATGTCAATGAGAAGATGTACTTCACTCCCTGCCTGAAATGTCACCACCGAGAGTCATTGGACCAAATAAGACTTGAAATAGATAGATTGGGTGCTCAGAGTCCAAAGAGGCGCTCACCGCTAACGCCAGGTGTAAATGATGGAGATTGTGGTGCTTAATGAGCCTGTTAATGACGGTGTGCCAGGTCTTTACACAAGATCCTAACGACAGCGCTGGGAACTGGATCAGGTGAGCAGGTTAAGAAACGTGCCTACATCCTAAAGCGGGGCAGCTGGATTTGAACCTAGTCCTAATTCCTAAAGGCGCTTTACACTAAGCCGTAATTGCTCTCTTCAGCTGCTCGGAATTATTGCTGAGAAATAGGAAAGTGTTGCCGGAAGAGGGAGTAGTTTTGGAGCTTGGCTCCAAAAGTGAAAGATAATCATTGAGGGTGTTAGAAACTCTTTTGACTCTGCACTTGTATAAATGACAAATTGTTGAAACATGCAATGCTGATGCATGTTGATTTATTTATAAATAAATTAATATATTTTATTAATATATTGTGTGTACTTTAAACATACAAATATAGAAATGTAAAAGGAAAATAACGATGAAAGTACTTTTCATTTTATTTATTAAAAGACCAAAATAATTTTGCTTTCTCTGAATATATTACCTGTGATTGCGTATAACTATAAATATACAAATATACAAAAGTAATAATGTCGGTAATTATTTTTGATGTGTTTAGTTTAGCACTTATGAAACAATTCAAAGTGGTTTTATATTAAAACTAGAATTTAGTGATTGTCACAGCTGAAAAGATATCTCAAAAAATATGTAGATTCAAATGGAAGAATTGCCTTGACTGAGCTCCAGAATCAACTACATAGTTTATGAAGTTCTGGTGTAGAATGAAAATGTGAAACCTCTTGTTAAAAAATTAAGACTTTCAAGATGGTGATAGAGCATTAAATTAAGTGAGGGGATATTCTAAGAGTGGGACCCTGTGTGACTGCACAGATCTCATGCTATCTGACTTCACTAAATCATGGTACTCATATTTTTGCCCCATCCTTCAATTATTCTAAAATCTTTTAAAGTAGAAACTTGGCAAGTAAATGTTTGCTTTTCAAGTGGCATTCAGTACTTCCTGGTAGGAAGGTGTTGTATTTTAATGTTTCAAACAATAGATTCAAAACACACTGCAAATCCTCTTTTGGAAAATATTAGAATGTTATACAATTCTGTTTCCATGTTTTAAAAAAATGTGCAACTATGAGAACCTTTAGAGTAATACTTCCATATTTTTAGCAATAGAAGATGAAACATTTCCAAACATATATTTTTCAAAACTGCTCTTTCCAAAGCATACATTTTTTAAAGAACAGTATTTACTTTTTTATGCATTGTTAAAGCAACTTTGATTTTTGACAGAACAGAGCAAGTGCCTCCATTGTTTTGTAAATATCTGTCAGGTAGTATATTACTGGCAGCCATTTGTCATCCCAGAAAAGTCAGCAAATTTAGAATTTTTGTGAAACAAGCATCATCTTTAAATTTAAAAGGTCTTTAAGTAATTTACCATGAGATAACCAGCCTGTGTAGTCAAAAGACTTTCTTAGTCACTCCCCATTTCAATACAAGATCATAACCATTCTATTCAGAAGAATAGAATCCCCATGTATACTTAACTGGGCACATGTAAGCTTTGAGCATCGTGGCCAGATGATAGTGTGGTGAAACCCCTCCTCTTCCCTTGGACAGACATTCAGGACCATTGGTGACTTGTGATCAGCTGAGACTTGTGGACTGAGTGAAGATCCCAAAGCAATCTGTATATTAAATATTAGTAAGATTAAATTTCTTATTTTTAAGTAAGATAAGTGTAAAGAGAACTCAATATTCACTTCTTGCACCCTCTGGATTACCTGGCACACCCAACTTTGGAGAGAACTGTTTTAATTATGGGGACAGTAGAGGCAAGGAGAAGGGAGAAATTGAAGAAAACTTCAACCAACTCCTCTCCTCCAGATCTGCCTAGGAATGGGCTATCCCTTTTCCCCCAACTGGTATTTTTATTGTGTTCATAGTTTGATACTATTGTTTTTGGAGATCCAGAAAAGTCATGTTTCCTGTTATTGATTGAATTTCCAGAATAGGTAATTAAAACTGGGTTCAAAGTCCTAGATAGAGTAGGAAGTGACTGTTTCTAGGCCAGGGTGTATCTTGTAGAAAAAAAGTGCCATCAGGAATTAAGTTTTGTGCTTCTCTGAAAATGAGAGATGAACAAGAGCTCTGCTGAATAGTGCTTTTTGCTTTCAGAGATGAGGGCAGGGGAAAAGGCGCCAATTGTTGGTGTGAGTGGTTCTCGTGTAATGAAAAATGTGTCAGAGACCAGAAGGGGAAGCCCAGTTCCAGAGGCCAGACTATTAGACACTGTGATAGCCAGTTTTGGCAGCTGCTTATACAGACCTGCCTTTCAGAGAAGTGAGGGGTGGTGGGTGATGGGTGGGAGAAGGGAAGAACAATTATGATTATTCAGTTGGCTGTGCCTGAGTGATGGTAGTCTTGCATCTGCTCAAGATGGGAAATGAAGAAGAGTTAACTAAAATAATTGTATTTCTTTGAACTTCCTAAGAATAAGTCTTTGGGGCCAGTTAGGCTTGAGAATTTCAGGTCAGAAAGATTTTGCAAAAAATATAAAAAATGAATAAAATCATATCTTACAATAAAACCTCAGTTTATGGTCCGTACTCTGTAACAATGTTGATACTTAAAAGGTAGCATGTGTCAACTGGCAGGCTATTTTAAAAGTCTGAACATAGTTTGTTGTGTGAAAAATATTCTCTGGTGTTCCCCTGGACTTAATATTCATGAAATGAGATTATATATACCTATTACTGCTCAGACATTAAGTTTTTGGCATTCGAGAGCTCTCTCATTTGGGGATCCTGTCTGTCTGGTTTACATCTGTTCCAGCCAACATGGAGGCATAGATAGATATACTTTGCCTCCTCAAACAACCACAAGAAGTACAAGAACAAATTTAAAAACAAAAAAATAACCAGAACTGCCAGAAAATTGAACTACATGGAAATCTGACAACCAAGTAATTAAAGAAGTAACATTCATCCAGGCTGGTAGGAGGAACAGAGACGGGCAGATGGGCTGGAGAGGACTGGCAGCAAGGTGGTCGCCAGAAGACTGGGTGGTCCCACATTTGTGTGTTGATAAACCAGGAGGAACAACTGGGGAGCAAGACAGACCACACAACCCAGGGTTCCAGCATGGGGAAATAAGGGCTCAAAACCTCTGACTGAAAAAACCTGTGGGAGTTGAGGCAGCAGGAGAAACTCCTAGCCTCACAGGAGAGACCCACAGGGTCCTAGACGGCACACAAATTCACCCACCTGGGAATCAGCACCAGAAAAGCCCGAATTTGCTTGTAGGTAGAGGGGGAAGTGACTAAAAGCCAGCTGAGAGATGAGCAAGAGGCATTGCTCCCTCTCGGACCCCTCCTCCACATACAGTGCCATAACCCAGAGAAGTAGGTTTCCCTGACCTGGTGAATACCTAAGGCACTGCCCCTTACTATGTAACAGGAGCACTAAGACAAAAAAAAGTGTGGCCCAAATGAAAGAACAGATCAAAGCTCCAGAAAAATTATAACTAAGTGGCGAAGAGATAGCCAACCTATCAGATACACAGTTCAAAAACACTGGTAATCAAGATCCTCACAGAAATGGTTGAGTATGGTCACAAAATAGAGAAAGAAGTGAAGGCTACACAAAGTGAAATAAAGGAAAATATACAGGGAACCAACAGTGAAGGAAGGAAACCAGGACTCAAATCAACAGTTTGGACCAGAAGGAAGAAATAAAAGTTAAACCAGAGTAGAATGAAGACACAAGAATTCCAAAAAATGAGGAAAGGCTTACAAACCTCCCAGACAACTTTAAACATTCCAACATCTGAAGCATAGGGGTGCCAGAAAGAGAAGAGTAAAAGCAAGAAATTAAAATCTTATTTGAACAAATAATGGGGAAAAACTAATGGGAAAAACTTCCCCAAACTGGCAAAGGAAATAGACTTCCAGGAAGTCCAGGAAGCTCAGAGAGTCCCAAAGAAGTGGGACCCAAGGAAACACACAGCAAGGCACATCATAATTACATTACTCAAGATTAAACAGAAGGAGAGAATCTTAAAAGCATTAAGAGACAAGGAGACGGTTTTACCTACCAAGGAGTTCCCATAAGACCATCAGCTGATTTCTCAAAAGAACCCTTGCAGATAAGAAGGGGCTGGAAAGAAGTATTCCACATCATGAAAGGCAAGGACCTACATCTAGGATTACTCTATCCAGCAAAGCTATAATTTAGAATGGAGGGGCAGACAAAGTGCTTCCCAGATAAGGTCAAGTTAAAGGAGTTCATCATCACTAAGCCCTTGTTATATGAAACATTAAAGAGACTTATCTAAGAAAAAGAAGATAAAAAATATGAACAGT